AAACTTATTTAAAATCGTGATTGTATTTTGCCTCCTATCAGAATGTCTGGAGGAAATTATACTTTTTAATATATTTGTAAAGAAAGCTCATAATAAGCAGAGCATGTTTGACAAGTTCTGAACCACAGCAGGCTTACCACTAACTTTTCCAGATTGTATATTTTCAGGTATATATAGAGTTAGCATGGGGGGCACTTTGGGGGCGGGTTAGGAAAAGCAGACAAACTGACTAACTGCACCACTGCTAGAAAAACTTAATGCCCAGGGAGCTTGCAATCAAATATTTACAGCTTTATGGGCAACAAATACTCTGTGAGATGAGACTACAAAGCAGTCCCACGGTCAGGTATTCTTTTTGCTGTCACCCTATCCCATTTCTTTCACCATATCCTGTTTCAGAATACTTACTACGCTGTCGGCATTGTTACTGCCAACCCCACTGCAAACTAGTAAAATGGGGAATGCTATTTAATGCATTTTTATGGATTTCTCAGTTGATCCAGTTGGTTCATATTCAAATATTTTGTTCATTTTAAATGATGCAACAGGTAGGGCAAGTAGGACTTCTGTTTAAGAATCTGTTTTTCAAGTACATCACATTTAGAGATCTAGAAACAAACAAAAATTTCAGAAAACATTTTGATTCATTTTTAGATTATTAGCCCAGTTTTCATATTGTATTTCAACCATTATCTTAGGAGATGATTTTTCCAGGAAAAGGCTGCACTATGAATAATTCTTTCAGTATTTCTGTACATGCTGACTTCTGAGGCAACTGAAAGTGGCTCTTCAGAGGAGATCTGTACAAGATTTTCCAGTCAATGGAGCTACTATGAAAGATCAGACCAAGAAGTCACCACATACACATGGCTGCGGTATGCATTGCCAGCTAGAGCCAACTGTGTCCAACACTTATAGGGATGCTGGAAAGCACAACTTGCAACCTCTTTATTAGGGTCTTTGGTGGTAATGCTGGGAGACCTGCGTCTCAACTTCCTTTCTGTAACATGGCTATATGTTGCTGGTGTCGCTAAGCATCTCAGACTCCACAGGGATCTGGGAGAAATTTAACCCCCTGCTGCAATACACTCCTTTTTTTTTGTATAATTTTTCTTTTTCTCACAGTTTAGTAGTTTGATAGACAAGAAGGCTGTGCTGGGCTCTGAAGTGTGGTCTTGCCTCTGCAGAGAAGCACTGCACAGAGAAGAGGGTCCTTGTCAGTGCTACAGGGAAGAGAACATGACAGGCTGGTCTGATCTACTCTGCTCCTGGTTACCATCACCAGTAGGACAGAGAGCAACACAAGCACTCATATCAGCTGTGCTTAATCATCCATGGGACTACAAGAGATTTTCTTAACGTCTACCTAACCAGCAGCTTTGCCATTTATTGGGATATTTGGCCACTTTAGCTCAAAACCAGATTTATTAATATCAAACTTAAAACAAATTACCAACTATTGCAAATGCTTCCCTAGGATACTCACTGATAGGGGTTCTTAGAAAATGTAAAATCCTTTAAGTACATGGGCCTTCATACAAATTTCTGTAGCAATTATCATCAGGAATCTTTAGAATGCCAGATCCATACACAATTCATTATCTAATTCAATACTTCAAAATCTTGTATCTGGATTAAAAAAAAAACCAAACCAACCTTTAATATTTTGGAATTGCAATGCTGTTATGTAAAAATCCACAGAGCTTTATATGTGTTTGTCTTACTGATTTTAAAGGTCCACCTGCTCTATTTGCAAGTATACAACTTGCTTTCCTAAATGTCAGTCAGGAGAAACATAGCATCAGCCTTCATTGCCTATCTTCACTTGACAGCTAGATGTCTGTGCTCAGAATGACATGCCATGGTTCTGCCACAATCCTTTCTGTCAGATTTCACTTAGTCATTAAATTTTAAAAACAAACCAAAGCAGCCCACCAAACAAACCAACCCCAAACTCTAATTGGATTGCAGTCAGAAAAGTGTTCCAGTTAGTTTCATGACAGGGGAAAATCAAGCTTTATTACTTCTAACCCCAAGACTGTGCTTTTAGTTTAAGATGGTGTCACCTGGGAACAAGTATCTGCATTCACATCACAGGCGTACTGCAATATAGGGACCAAAATGCAACTTCATCCCCCTCCCCACTCACCTGGGCAGAGGCTGGCAGCTGCAGCACTGTACACTGCCCACAGATCAGACCCACACATGCATTTAATGATTCAATAGGGTGTAGGGCAATTTCTTGATCAGTTTTTGATAGCATAGTGTTTCTGAAGCCACACAAGTGTGACAAATGGTTGAGGGATAAGAGTCTTCTACCACATTAGTAAACCCCCCACCTTTGCCCCACCCCACCCCAGCAAACAAAACAAATGCCCCATACCTGCAAACATTTCAGTGCCTGAATTATGAATAAAATAAGCATGATAATGAATAATCTATGTTAAGCATTTTCTTACCCTTTATTTTTTCATTATGATCAGAAGAGGAATATGATTAACAGCAGTTTAAACTTTAGCAGTACAATTTCAGTATTAAATATAAAACTACACTGCAAGTTGATGTATTTTAAAAATGGTTATGTATACTCTAGCCTTAAATTTATGTATCAAATACAAGTAACTCAGTTGTTTCTTGCCTTGACAATTAACATATCTAACAAATTTCAACAAGCCAGACATCCATCTTTTCCATTAAAAAAAAAATAAGCAAGAACACCAACTCTTATTCATAGCAAGGGGGTGTAAAGATTCAACACTTTCCTGAGTGTTGTGCAAATAACACGTTTGAGAAAGTCAGTTAAATAAGTGTAATGATAAACCTAAAGCTAAGCTGGAGGACCTTTTGATTAACTTCATATTTCATATATTACTTGCATCAGTTGAGAGCAACATGAGTTACAGAACTTCCATGAAAACAAGCCACTTACAAGCAGGTGGTTAAGCTTGATCAGTTTATTAAAAGGATTATATGACACGGTTGCCTGCAATAGCAGGGGACTGGATCTGATGACCCAGGAAGTTCTTTCCAGTCCCATGTTTCTAAGCCATGCACCAAGTGTATCCAGCCCACACTTTCACATTAGGAAAAAGCCAAAGCCACACACACACACACTCACAGGAAAAAAAAAAAAAAAAAAAAAAAGGTCCTTGATGACACCGTTTCATTTCTCTAGGTATTCACTATGCAGAAGGGAACAGAGCTAAAGTCCTGTACAGAGGATACATTTACTCGAGGTTGATGTGGTACTGAAGTCAGTTAATAATTAGATACCTCCAGGCAGATTCAGTTACAGGGCATACCAACACTGCACACTGCCAGACAATTTCTAATCAAGCCAAGAACCTCTTGCAGGAATGAGGTCTCTTTGCTAGCAAGCACAGAGCACACTGAATAAGCTAAAAGCAGCTGTTCTTAAATGAACTACCCTACCAACCGTGAGTGAATGACAGATAGATGGTAAGAAGCATTTACCTACTAGACTAGATCTCTCTGCACACTCAGGCAGAAGTAATTAATTCAGAGCAGCAACCATTGCTCCAACCTTGCCTGTCTCTTGAGTACGTTCTCTTTAAAAGCTGGTCTACAGAATCAGTGCAGCCATTCTCAAGCACTACCAAAGTAGCAGTTTGCAGCTGCCATGCAAGACACTACTTTCAAATGGTAGTCAGACATTCCCATCAGCATGGCCAGTTTGCTAGGACAGTATACACAGCCATAGCAAAAAGCCTTTGCAACAACTAGAGATCTAAACAATTGCCTACATTCAGCCCATCTAACTCTTAGGCACTTGGTTAAGGTGTCTGGGTCCCTAGGCACCCAGAAATCCTCCCACCCCCCAAGGAAAAGATAAAATTTAAAAAAAAGTATCACTGAAGGCAGATAGTCTCAATTGCCTTCTGGAGTTGTTTCTTGACCCCCACTGAGCAAAGCTGCATTTCAAGCAACCAAGTTCTTAACACAGGCACCTCAGTTAGACAGGATGAATGGAGACTTGCATCTCTTTCAAGAGATAATATCAATACTCTCCAAAACCAAAGGCAATTAAGCAATTAAGGTTTGCAACTCCAGTTATGTTTGGAAACAAACTTACAGTCAAGTAATTTAAGCTGTAGTCCCTCCCTCCCAAGCATAAAAGCCTTCCAGATGGAGGCTCTACTATTTAAAAAAAAAAAAAGCATTCTTCTTTCAAACAAAGAACAAGTGGACACTGCTGCTTTGCCACTCATTCATGGGGGAGCTGAAGATCAGAGAACACTTACTGAGAGACCTGGAATGACCAAGCACTGCTAGTGCATGCAAAGCAGAAGTAACAAGATGGTTTTTAAATTAACCCTAGTCCTCTTCTCCACCCCACAAAATTCATGCAAGTGTTTGAGAAAGTAAGTCAAGACATAACAGCCCCAGTTTCCAAAGAGGCTTAGTAGCTGTTGGTTTGTGGTTTGGTTTTGGTTGTTTGTTTTTTGTTTTGGTTTTTTTTTGTTTTTTTTTTTACATATTGTAAAAGAAATGTCCTTTTGTTTCCTTTCTGTGGGTAGAGAAATGCATTTTTGGCATGTTTAAGAATCATAGATATCTATGAAGACCATGCTGTTTAAATTCTCCAACTAACTTCTATAACCTGTCAAAAAAACATAAGCAACCTATACATGTTCCCCCAGTATTGACATGCATGCTCAGGGCTCTCCACTTTAGTGAAATGAGGCGTTGCTTCTGTGCTGATAGTTGACGAGTCAGCATTACACGACTTTGAGACCAACTAAATTAACATTGTCGTAATATGAAAGGCAAGCACAAGTTCATTTATTTATAGCAAAGGTCTTGGGTTACAGGAGGTCAGTTCTTGCCATCTTGAAAAGATAGGGGATAACTTATTGCATAACATGTGCATTATAATTTAGCAGCAAGTCATTCATAGAAACACTTCCCTCCTACTGCTTTTTTGGTTTATTATCGCAATTATATATATATTTTAGCTTTACAAAGCATTTAACACCACCTTTAAGTTAATGGTCTTTTATTGGAAAAAAAGACTAGCATTTACAACTTGGAATGGACATAAATTGTAATATCTTGAACAGCAATGTTGATAGTTGTGCTGAAGTCCACAGGCTACTCCGCCAGCTCCAAGTCATGGTACAGAAGGTTTTAAAAATATGAGAGTCCAAAGATGCTCCCTTGGTGAAGGTTTCTTTTAAAAATTTTGTGAACGGTAACAGCCCGACACCCGTTTCACTATAGTGCAATGCAGACAATGTTAAACCAGTATTTTAACACAGACATGCCATCCATAGTTAAGATCATCGTATTTTTGGAGCACACTGCTACGTACAGGAGAACCATTCATCCTTTAGGGCATTTTCTCTAAGTTTTGCATCCTTCAACCATTTTGCTGCATACCATCCTGAGGTATAAACCAATTTTGAAGTAAACCAGCTATGACAATTTATACTACAAATTGAACTAGAATCCACTGTTGAATAAAAGAGTGGATCCTTTAGGTTGATTTTTCCTTTTAATACAAATGTCTGACTGTGCTCAATTGTCAAGCTGCATGCATGAAAAACTGGCCAGCCCAAACAGTGTAATAGTCATTAGCAAATGGAACTTTTGAGTTCACTAAGTGCTTCCTTTTTTTTTATTTTCAAGGTAGTACAATTATTTATATTGTAAAACTGATGTTTATCTTTTGGGGACAGGACCACCAACCATTACATGCAGTTTGTGGACAGAAGGTATTTTGACATTCAGTTTTGCTATACAGAAACAGAATGAATAAATGAACATTTTTTTTTGCAAGAGGTAAGTAAAAGATTCAATTTGATTCTTCTAGAGGAAAAAAAGGTGTAAAGGAGGTCTCTTCACTTTGCAGTCATCATCTGTACGAATTCTGAAAAGATAAAAAGTCACTGTGATTTATTGTTTCCAAAGTACTTCAACTGCTCTCAAACACACCTGCCATAAAAAAGCGCCCCTTTCACTGCATGTGAGTTTGTCCACAGAAGTGGACAACTAAATAAAACTGGTGTCTCATGTACTAGAACTTAATGACCTATGCAACAGGCTTTCACTCAATCTGAGTAATGGTTCTTAGTCAAGACAATCATCTTTTTTACCTTCATAGTTGACTTGCCCATCCCCATCAATGTCTGCTTCTCTGATCATTTCATCTACTTCTTCATCTGTTAGCTTTTCTCCTAAGTTTGTCATAACGTGACGTAGTTCTGCTGCACTGATATAGCCATTGCCATCCTGTGAGGAAACAGTTGCATAAGGTCATGATGAACAATCCTGACACTGATAAACACTGAAGCTACATCCAGGTTTCCAGTAACTGCTTTTGAACTAGCCTTATAGCACTTGGTACATTGTATAACCAACCCTACACTAGGTACTAGTGCCATCACCTTATGAAGCATGCATCCCATCATATCCTGCTATACAATTATTGTACCATAAGAATAACTGCATGCTTGATTTGTAGCTGTGATAAGGTATTTTTAATGCTTTTAAAGAGCTTTCAAAAATAAACACAGAAACAAAATGTTTTTTGTTTAGTCTCTGCTGCCTAAGCAAACACACAAACACACACACACCCTCCCAAAGACCAATTTCCCCACCAGGAAGAATAGTCAGCTTTGCCTTCTATGTAATACTACCTCTACAACCAGACTGCAGGTGGGCAGGTTAGGCTTCTTGGATAAGAAAATATAGAACAAACCTTCAAAGGAAGTATTTAAATTCATAAGGAGTTGTGAAAAGCTTCATGGCCAAAAAAAAGCAAATGATGCTTCTAAGTTGGTGTTCCCATTAGTAATATTCAAACCAAGAGGCCATACCTAGCCATTTCAGAAATTGTCCTCTTCCATATACAGGAAGAATACAGTAGCTTAGAGCAGCAGTTCATTATGTCCATTGCCAGGAGATAAGCTACCTCGGTGGCTTTAAGCACAAATCTAGTTCACAGAAATAATCCCACAGGGTAGATGAAATACTAACCAAATAATCGAACATTTCCTCCAGCACATTTTCAGGTAATTTTCTAGAGACCCATAAAAAGGAAAAGTAGTAAGGCCTTCTCCCACACATGTGTGTGCATCAGATTAGGAGCTGCACCAGCCATTACTCAACACAATTCTCTCGTAACATCAGTCATAATCAACCAATCTAAAGAGAGAAACCTATTCTAGAAATAATTGGCCTTCACCATGTATGCCCAGGTATCATTAAAGGAGATGGGATTTGAGCTGTTTTCCTAAAAAACATCTCTAAATCCACATCTTGGAAATGAACATGCAATACTTCATGTCCCTCTGAATACCAATAACCTCATCTTAGGTTCAAAAGCTTCCAGAAAGTGTAATGCCTTGTGCAACCATGCAAACATTTCCCCACTCTCCCAAATCAGAAGGTACAGAAAAATCCCACCCCTCCACCACCCCCTTTTCCCCCCCAAAAAAAACAACACCCCACAAAGCATCAAGTTCTGCTATTCTTTGCTCCCAAGGAAATGCCAGAAAGTATTCCTTATGGATGAGCCTACAGCACAGATCTGCTGCATAAAGCAGGTAGCACCAGCCTGTAACAGTTCTGTTTCCAGAATGCTCCCTGCTCGGTTTCCAATTCCTCTGCTTTTAGAGGACTTTTTTCTTCCGGACAAGAAGAGACAAAACACTGAGGAAAAGATGGACATCATCACTGCTTCTAAAGAATATTTGTACTTTTATTAATACCTTGTCAAAGACTCGGAATGCCTCACGAATTTCTTCTTCACTGTCTGTGTCCTTCATTTTTCTGGCCATCATGGTTAAAAATTCAGGGAAGTCGATAGTGCCATTGCCTTAATGAAAAGAAACTTCCAAAAATTAAACTTCCATGCTTTATATTAAAAAAAAAAAAAAAAGTTGTAATTCAGTCATAAAGACAAGACTGACAGATCTTCTGTAAAACATCCTTATAGAACTGGATCTTCTCCCTAAATTGCTACCACTGCCTTTTTGCTATTACAATGTCATTACAGTGACACAACAAAATGAACTGTTGCCTTCTCTCCAGGTCAAACTATATCATTTGCCACTCAGGTTGCAAGAAAAATGTCAGTCTGATGCTCCAAGGTTAGCCCATACTAAGACTTATCTTTACTTCACATCACTCCCCATAATTCTTTAGTTTCTTTAGAATCTCCCAATTGCTGTGAGAGACTCCAGGAAGGAATGCGTTATAAAGCTGGCACTACAAATCCAGGATACCTGAAATTTGAGAAAATTACACTTTACTAAGATGCTCATGAATACTTGCTGCTTGTTAAAAACCAAACAACCTTCTTTTCAATGTGTTGCACACCACAGAAGTAATGCACCATTTTAAGGAGCAACAAGGATCTGCAAATTCCAGTGACATGAGAAAATCCACCATTATTTAGGATTTCTGATGAGATTAGCAGTAGGTTTTCTTATAGGTATTTCACTGCAAAACTGAAAACCCCTGGTAACATTCAGGCCTCAACTTTAATTTCTTCCTTCAAAGTAAGGATTCAAACTTCAGGCTGCTCAAAGCTATGAGAAAAGCGGTATGGTAAAGAAGCAAGTTCTTTAAAACAGCAGAAACTAGATTTGTATACTCAGGATTCAGACTTATATGCCAAAATCCCCACATTAAATAGTTTGCTGTACAATTAAGATCTACCCATTGCTTGAGGGAACCATACAAACTCATTGGATAAGACAGCAAAGAAGCTAAATAAATGCAACTTAAGAAAAATGCTTTCATCGTAAGGATCCCAGACTGAGACATACACAGCTATTTATAATCATGGCCAGCTTTATCTACCAGCTAAACCTGAATATAGGTCTCATACTGAGCTCTGAAAAATTCTCAATGAATGTGTAGAATAGCAAAGCATTCTGCCATAAAACAAGTTTAAACAGACAGGCAGGCATACTTAGACAAACTCTATATAGCACTGCAAACCCTAAAGTTTTTCAGTATCTGCATCCAAGGGTTAGCAATTAAGGTCAACTAGGAAAGTAGCTATAATTAATATAGTCCAATAATCAGATAATCTATACTTTTGCCATACACTTCCACTCTTTTACAGATATCTTTGAGAAAAATCACTATCATTACCAACATACAAGATCAAAGCCTTGACATAAATGATCAGGGGAAACCATTTTTCCTTTTTAGAACTGTAGTCTTCCTGAAGTTTGAGAAACAAAATGTGCAGTCACCCATTCTGGTATCCACTTAAAATACCTGATAGACTTGATACAGGAAGGTTTTTCTGCTTTTGCCTCTGCTCCCTATTACTTATTGATCTAACACACTACATTAGACTATACAGTCTCTCCCTATTGTTTTTAGTTCTTGGAAGTTTAGCACTATTTCACTCCTACTACATTTTGTCTAAGGCCAAAACCCACAGACATTAGTACAGATAATAAGACCAACATGGGCTGATGAAACACACATAGAAAAGCTGTGTGAAAACACAGGTTAACAGCAGGTCAGGGCAGGTCAGACAGCAATAGAAAGCCAGTGACCCATAAAATATTAAAGACAAACAGTCTAATTTTGTCTCTGCCCATCTCCCTTTTTAGATTCTCACTAATACTGCTAGCATCTTTGACTGCTGTGCAGAGAGCAATCAAAAATTGACACCCCTCTGAACTTAGATCAAGTATTTTGAAACTGCTTCAGGAGATCAATGTCACACAATCTTCTTTACGCAGTCCAAGCCCAGGTATGGAGGTCATACATTCTTAAGCACTAGTAACTACCTTTCCAACACTTACCATCAGCATCTACCTCGTTGATCATATCCTGCAATTCTGCTTCTGTTGGATTTTGACCCAATGACCTCATGACAGTTCCCAGTTCTTTTGTTGTGATAGTACCATCACCATCTTTGTCAAATAGGGAAAAGGCTTCCTTGAATTCTAGAGGCAGAAACAGTCCCAGAGTTTAGTAACATCACCAGCATGCAAAAACTGCTCACTAAAAAATCTGTAATACCTAGTACAATTTTAAGAAACATTTTATCTAACTGTCCATGTATTGAGAGAATTAACACTCAAATATTAACAAAAAATTACTTACAGTACCAACATGTAATTTACGTAGTATAATCAAGCTTATTTCAGGTGGCTCTATAATGCATTTCAACATCATTGAGGCACAGCTGCACCACAACAGCAACTGCTTGGGATAAATGAAGAGATCCACTGGGTTCCCTTCACCATTAACAGACTTACAGTTACAGTAAGTGTTGTCATTTACCACTTACGGCAGCAGACAGTAAGAATCTGTCAGCCAGAAGTGGGTGACTGGTCTTCAGAAGGTCAAATAATGGTCCTTCTCCTAACCAGTTTGAATTTCAGACACACTGATAGAAGTTATTTAAAAGCCACTGGCTTATATTAATGAGTAATAAGTCCATTTTAGGTTTATTTGTTGCCATTTAAGTTTATCTTCACTTTATTAAAAAGAAAATAGTACCTAGGTCTGCTTTGAATCCAAGAAGTTCACTTGAGTCTAGCAATTATTTGTTTGCAAGAAATCTAGAAGGACTTGGCTCAAGTCTGAAAGTCTAAAAAAAATCATTATCTGTAGTTCAAGGAACAAGCAGTCTAAATTAAGAGGCAATGAACCAGTCTTCCGGAACATTGTGGTTTTTTGTTTTCTGCGTTTTTTTGTTCGGTTTTTTGTTTGTTTGTTTTTTAAAGTGAGTGCTTTTTGAAAAAAGTGTTAGTAGATTTGAAATTGTTAAAAAGTTTTCCATTATATTTGAGATCATGTATTTTCTTCTAGTCACATGGAGTTAGCAAAAAAGTAATCATTTCTCAAGACACTTACCAGCAATCTGTTCTTCAGTCAGCTGATCAGCCTACACAAAGAATAGAACATTTTAGAATATTGTTTACCTCTAGCTATGCCAAGCCACAAGACGCTTCCTCTAGATTTCAGTAGTGATTTATTATTACTTTCACAAAGCCACTTTCAACACCTGGAATTCTGCCTGTGCAAGGAGATTCCACTCACCTACACCACACAGACATTTCCATAAGCTAACCTGTCTTGAAAGTGCACATGAAGAACAAGACATAACATCCTTCGACTTGGAGAATCCAATTTGGTCAAGTGAAGGACACAGGGCAGGCTCCTTGTAATTGCTCAGAGGGGCACAAAATCCTTAATAACATGTGTTTGGGGTTTCACATCACATCAGATGTCATTTCCAGCGGTACAGTGACCCTAGTACTGCATGGGGGGTATTTGCACATTAGCGGACTAATGGCAAGCGTGCCACCTAGTGATCTAACACTACCGAAGTCCACCCTCCCCCACCACACTGCATCAAGCATTAGCCTACTGTAAGCTTAACAGAAGGGACTATGCTGTGATATTAGGAGGAATTACTACTCGGCATTATGGAGACTTTTTGCTATCTCCAACATAGAAAAAGCCAGTTTTCAAGCATCACATTATTTTTCCATTCAGCCAAGCAGCTTAAGGGGCCTCATGCCGATACACAGGTTTTTTTATATATCATTTTAAGTGGCAAGACTTAAAATGCCTGCTTATGACCTTCTGTACATCAAGAGAGCACTGCTGCATCCAAAGGTGTACAGCTCAGTAGGCAATTAAAGGGGCCTTCCCAGAGCTTAACTGTGCTAACCACATCCTTCCAGAAGCCTCTCCCTCCTGTATGGTTAGAGCATCACAAAAAGCTCTGCTGTTTGGACTCAAAGGAGCTAGCTAACCAGTTCTTTACAGAAAAATACATATCTTCCCAAGAATTAAAAAAAAGAAAAACACCTGGGTTTTACATCCTAAAAGATACTGGAGAATACAAGGTAGTACCTCCTTTTAAACTCATTTTATTGGACAGCTTTTACTAATAGAGTATTTTGTAGGTCAGAGAAAGCAGGCATCCTGCAACCCTTTTGTTCCGAAATACCATTATTCAAGTATAAAAACCACTTAACTACAGCAAAGAGCAACAAATACAAGGGAGAAATAACAGGCGATACAATCTGTTAAGCTCTTGCACAGGGGAATAGGGTAGGATTGAAAGCCTTCTGTATCTTAAGTGACATACACAGATTTCACCTGTAAAGAGGTGGTGGGGTTTCTTTTTATGATGTTTTAACATCTGTATTTAATGATTAAGCAATTCCCCATATGCACAAGTGGGTTAGGGGGATGAAAGGGGGAGAAATGCTAATAGGTAAAGACAGACTTCAAATTTAATAAATGTTCTTTAATAACAGCAGCAAACTTGTGTTCAAAATCCAGTTCGACTTTCGGCATTCTGTGGTTTTCCAGAAAATGCGAGGTTTTACTTAAAGATTATCTAAGGAATTTACATAACAGACTCAATGCCCTGCAGAACAGGAAACAGAGCCACGCCTCGGCGAAAACCTCCAACCCACAGCACCGGCTTGCTGCCCCACTAGTCAGAGCTCACTGGCTGTTTCTAAAAATCGGATTTCGAATTAAAAAAAATAAACTCACAAGAAAACCCAAAAAACCTAACTTCGCCACACACTGCGACGCCAGAAGTGTGCAATCCAACCCCACAGCGCCATGGGGTTCACCTTCCCGAGCAACAGGCACAGCCACTGCCCGCTCGCCTGAGCTACAGGACAAAGGTACCCAGGGCTGGAGCCATCACCCCACCCAGCCAAGTCATCAAATCCTGTCCTGGTGATGTCAGCCTTCCCCGACGGGAAGGGGAGATGGAGAGACAGAGCCGAGGAACACCCAGATTGCCAAAACGCGATTAGAGGTCAGCCTGCGACTGTTTCGCCGTCTCGTAGGAAGCGAAAAACCGCCGGGAAAATCCCAGCCCTTCCTCTCGCTCTCTTGTGCGAGGAGTCCGGGCTGGCACCGAGGCGCCCAACAGCCGGGGGGTGATGCGAGCTGCTCCCGGAGCCCAGCAGCCACCGAGGCAGAGGCTGGCACGGCCCGGCGGCGGAGCGGGCGGCCCGCAGCCCGCCGGGCGCAACAGGCGCCT